ATTGCTTCAAATGCTGGCTGTGCAACAACCAGTTTCATTAGAAATACAGCATTTGACTTTCTCCCTGTTTTAATGGCCCTACGCACAGACAGAATTAAAGTGTGACTGAAGCTGCAAAAGCAGTAGTACTTGCAGTTGCCTATTACAGACGCAAATCACTTCAATAACATATAGATGGGGCTCTGCCTGACAACTGGACTCTGTGGGAGCCAGGTAATTGCTGTTTATGGCACGGAAATACTCATCTGTATGGGAGTTAGCAACTTCAGTGGGTTTGTGTGAAGTTCAAGCTCATTACAACTCAATGTTTATGTTCCCTTTGAGAAGCGTAGGTAACACCTCAGCTGCACCGCAGCATCCCTGTGTATGCTTGATGTTCTAAAATTTTACACCTTTGGTAAACTCATCTCAACTCCACTCTTGCCCTTAAAGCGCAGTGCTGCTACTCAGCCAAAGACTGGTGTTTTTCACAACATCTCATCCAATTCAAGAATTTGGTGAGATTTAAGAGAGCTCGTCAGTGCAGCAGCAGTGCTAATGTGTTACACAGACAAGTTACTTGGAGACACAAGCAAAACCAACCGCACAGGATGCAGGCTGGGGGTCCCAGCCCTGGGGTGCGAGTCCCAGTGCAGCTTCCCTAGTGCAGCTGGTGTCTCTCGGGACCTCGCAATAATGAGCTCAGAAGCGGAGCCTGAGCTTTCATTCTTAGGGAACTGCGAAAAGCATACAGGAGAAAAAAACAAAACTAAGGAGGAAAAAGGGAAAAAGTAAAGCAATAAAAGGAAAGAGAAAAAAAGAGAAGAAGGAAAGGAGGGAAAGAAAAAGGATAACAAAAAGGAAATGGAAATACGGGGAGGAAATAAAAGAGAGTAAAGACCAGAAAAAGAAAAAAAAAAACAGGGAAAGAAAAAAAAGAAAAGGGAAAGGAAGAAGAAAAGGGAAAGAAAAAAGGAAAGGGAAAGAAAAAAGGAAAGGGAAAGAAAAAAGGAAAGGGAAAGAAGGAAGGAAAGGGAAAGAAGGAAGGAAAGGGAAAGAAGGAAAGAAAGGGAAAGAAGGAAGGAAAGGGAAAGAAGGAAGGAATGGGAAAGAAAAAAGGAAAGGGAAAGAAAAAAAGGAAAGAAAAAGAAAAAAGAAAAGAAAAAGGAAAAAGAAAAGAAAAAGAAAAAAAAGAAAAAAAAAAAAGAAAAAGAAAATAGAAAAGAAAAAGAAAAAAAGGTAAAAGTAGATGGAAAGAAGTGCCCCCGGCTGAGCGCAGCCCCCGCAGCCTCCCGCCGCCCCTTACCGCACCGCCGGCTCCCTCCATCTCCCATCGCCGGCCGCGGCGGATCGCAC